ATTGAATGTTGTGAAGCAACCTTGGCTCCTTTATATAAAACATGTAGGAGTTCAATATGGATAAAACATTTTTCAACTTGTATTCATTAAACGACATTTCTTGCTAACAGTTGTTCAAAAAACTCTTTAAAAACTCCACTACATTAACCTAATACAATTATTCATGTAGTTTATAATGACACAGAAAGCACAAAATATCATTTCATGGTTATTTTTTATTACAGATAACAAAAAGCATTGTTAGTTAAAAAGCAGTGATATACTGTAATATGCCATGCGTCTGTGAATATAGTTTAAATGGATAGTTTGGTTATATTGAAGTGATATGAGGAACTTATCCTCGTCAGTTTGGCTCAGAAACATATTAATGTAGACGTGACAGTCTGCTAAATGTATTTTAACCAATGAAACAAATATATTCTATATTTAGAATCATTTAAGTGCTTTACCTTGACGATAGTTGCCAGATGACTTGCCAGATACTTTATTTGTTTGTTTTTGCTGAATCCGAACTAACCGAAACCACACAACTTTTTTTTCCCACCAAATCTCAATCTTTACTTATTTATATGGCACATTTAAAACAACCTCAGTTGACCAAAGTGCTGTACAGGGAATAAACACAACATAAAATAACACAATGGGAGTAAAATAATAAAACAATAATTGAAAACACGATAAAAAGCACAATAACTAGAAACATATAAAAACACATACAAATGTAAAAATGTAACGTTCAAGTATTAAAAGCCAGTGCAAATAGTTAAATTACTTTGATAAAAAATCTGAAAATGACGTGTTCCCCTTCTACCTCATTTAACAAACATTTAGATTCTATGAAGGTTAAAATAGTTTTCATTTAAAGTGGACCTATTATGCTATATTTGAAAAATATATTGTAGGGCCATACCTATAATAATAATAATAATGCATTTATTTTATAAGGCGCCTTTCAAGGCACTCAAGGTCGCCGTACAACAAGGTTAAAAACAGTTTTTTTACAAACATATATACAAAACATTTCTGAAGTTTTTTGCTTAAAATACCAAACAGATCACCCTGTAGCCATGCCTCATACTGCTCATACCCCTCTTTTGCAGCCCTGTTCCAAACTGGCTGATTCTGCTTTAAATTACACGTCTGCTGCTAGCCACGCCCCTTTCTAGCGTCACGCAGCTTTCCCCTGCTAAGAGAGTTTTCTACCCGGAGATCTCAGCTAAACGCTGCGGTGATTAAATGCCATGCGATGCTCCTAACCACTTCAAGCTTTATTTCTGAAGCGGTATGGTGCTCAAACCTTTCTCTCTCGCAGGGTTTACCACGAGGACTTTAGTTACACATATTCTCTCCAGTAGCCTACAGCGTTAGCTCCATGGTTAGCTCTGAGTGTTAGCATGCTTGCTATTGTAAACACAGAGCTCCCAAAACACGCCGCGCATTGTTTCTGATACAGCACATAGCTTGACATGTTTACCGCTAGAACAGTGCCATAGGCGGAGTTTGACATTTGCGCTTGGGGGGGCAAACCTTTTTTACTGACGTCAGTACACAGTCCCAACTATTGCGTGGGGTGCTACGGATACAGTAGCAATAAAGCCAGCGTTCACCGCACTGAGTATGAATTTTCCACATACGAACACAACTCGTCTCGTCATGCACGCCTCATGCCCGCCGTACACACACACTCATATGGAAGGGGCGGTCTCTCCCCCCAACAACAGTGCATTGCATCTGTAAAACTTATCATAACTGTGCACATCTTATACTTATTTGATAACTACTATATCCCTTGGTTACTTGAACACGCTACAATATTATTAACCAGTGTCCTACTTAGTGCAGAAGTAGACGCCTTAAACGTCCCAGAAATTGGACGTTTAAAAAATCGCTGCATATCTTATTGTAATACAATAGCTGAATCACTTGTATGTAAAAAAAAAAAAGCAAGGGAACTTGTGTCCTTAACCTCATACGTCACACACACACACACACACACACACACACACACACACACACACACACACA